CATCCTCCGATTTTTCTTTAGTTCCTGAAAACTCGGAATCGGAACCAGAAGAACCAGTGCATCAGACCTCGATAGGAGTCCACTTTTAGTAGCTAACTCAAGCTCGTGGGCCTTAGCATTTTCGGCATCAAAATCAATGACACCAGCTTTGGCCTCTTCCAAAGTTTTTCTACTCATGCTATACATGGCATATGTTTTGTCAACCACGAGGGAAGTCGCTCGACGCTTGAGTTCTTCTTTAAGTTGGGTTACCTCAGCAGAAAGGTTTTCTCGAGCAGACCTAGCAGATTTGAGACTGATATCAAGGTCGCGGACAGTTGAACTAAAAAGCCTATTATGCTCTAAGTTTTCCTGTACTTCTCTTCCAGCTGGGCGTGTTTCGCTCCCACAGCAGCAAGCTCTTCAATTTTGGAGTTCAAGGCTGCCTTTACGTTAATCACTCTTTCAGCGGAGGCAGACTCACGCTCGGTTGCAGTAAGAACGTCATTATGAACTTCAACCTATTTGGCCCTGGCTTCGTCAAATCTAACCCCAGAGGACCAATTTCTTGGCTAAGGATTACTACTTCTTGCTCACTCTGCCGGAAGCGAGCTTCCAATATAACAGCCTCAATAGCTTTGGCTTCCAGTTCCAAAAGGCAAGTGACATGTTGCTCTTGCTCTGCCAAAAGCTGATCCTGTGCAGAGATAATCTCTTCTTTTTCACGAATCAACCTCTGAAGGCCCTCAGAAGCAAGAAAGTTGGCCTACAAAGTAATAAGGGTTAAATTCAGGAGATGTTCACACGCAAAAATAGAAGAAGTAATAAAGGAAGAAAGGAACATACCTTTGCAGCGTTATGCATAGCATTGTTCAACAAACACTCTCCCGAGAGTACTTGAATCTTTTCCCAATCTTTCTCTGAAGCCAAAGGCTTCAGAAAATTAGCAAGCTCCACCGGCCGGGATAGCAAGTTGCATCTGGTAGAGACCGAAAGAGTAACGTTCCTCTTCCTTTGTGGATCTTCAGAAGGGGCAGCATAATGGTCAGATGCGGCCGACGAAGGTGGTGTAGCAATTGCTGGTAGAAGAACGAATGAAGATGGAAGTGATGTAGCAGTTGTTCGTATTGGTGAAGATGGAGATGAAGTTGATGGAGTTGAAGAGTGAGAAGCAGCTCCGTCAAATGCAGTGTTGGTTGTTGGATGCTCGCCAACCAAAGATGGCAAGGGTACGGTACTCAGCTCTGCAGTACCCGACATAACAATTGGGGCCCGAAAATGGGAGTTGACATTATCTACTAAATCAAATTCTCCCCAAAGTGTCGAGGCATCATCCTCTGTTGGTGTAACTCTCTCAATAGGTTAAGCATCCTATTGAGATGATGAGGATCGTCATCTTTTATGTAGAAAATCTGCCTCATAACTAGCTTATTCATCATCATCGATTATCATTGTATCTATGATCGGCCTGGAAGGAGGGTCAGTCACCATCGCTATCGGAGATGACTCGGGGGCATCGTCCTCGCCCTTTTATTCTTTTCCCCGGTTGCAGATGAGCGTCTTCTCTTTGGTTGTTTATTTTCCAGCCGAGGACTCCGAAAAGAAGCATTTGATCTCGAAGCAGGCCCAAAGCCACCTGTTCGTGTAAGCGCATTCTGAAGCAGCCTCGCTGCATCAACAGGATCAACCTAATTTCATAGATAGGTTAGAAGAGATCAATCAAGTTCTTTACATGACAAATTGAAACAAGATGAGTTTGAATTACCATGATTCTTGGCCTTCCACCCGTATTTAGGGGCCAGTTCTTTCCACAAGCGAGTCTCGGGCATCGTAACACCCAAGATTCTTTGTACCCACCGGTCCAAACCTTCAATCACCGGTGAGATCCATCGAGTTACTGAAGCAAATGAAGAATGGAGGATCAATACGGCCATTAAACCTATTTTAGTAAAAGTAAATACTAAACAAAGAGCTTACAAGTGCGGTTCCAAGCGGCCGGAAAAGATGAAGTCGTTGCCGGAATGATATCGTGGTGGCAATTGCAACGAACCATTCCATCCACCCACGGTCCTTATCATCATCCATGCTAGACAATAAAGCATGGTGGCCACGCTTGCAAAGGTTTATCATTTCCCCATGGAAGATTTTGGGAGAATAAAGATTCATCATGTAAGCTAAGATTAGCTCCTCTCTAGTTTCCTGGCATAAATGCCAAAGGCAAGAAACCTTCCTCTATACAGAAGGACTTACTTGTGCCAAACACACCTGGTAACGGAGACAAAACTCCGCAATCACGGAGTCAAGCTCTCCGCTTAAAGAAAACGCACCCAAAGTAAAGGGAAACGTGTAAACATATGTAAAATACTCTTTGGGAAGGGTGACTCGCTCCGATAGATCAAGAGAGATAATTTCTAAGTCATGGCAGTGACAATCTTCCAACATCAATGCTCGAAGGACATATGAAAGAAGGATACCTGCTAACGGCCCATGTACAAAAATTAGCAGTAGGGAATTTCTCTTTGAAATCTTTTGTGGTAATAAGACTTCTAGGGATGATGGAGCCCATTGTTGGAGGAGCAAAGTCCTCGGCTTTGTTTTTGATTTTTAAGGAACCGACACGTTTCGAGGAAGAAGCCATTGTAGGAAAGAAAGGGTCTTTCATTTGAAGAGAATTAGAAAAAAGATAAAGAAACAATATGCAAGTTAGATGAAGGAAGCCTGAAAAGTTATGAATTATAAGGGTGGAAGTTGATATGTATAAGTAAAAGTTTTGCGGCTAAATTCATGGCCAGGATTACCTCGATAATCGGCAAAAGATGTGTTGAATCATGGGAAGACGCGTGTTCGGGGCATTAAATGCGGAGAGGCATGTGTCTAATCAACCGTCAGAAGCCTTCAGAGGGAATTATAGTAATTTTCGCCAAAAGAGTGTTTCTACCAACTTTCCGGTAACACAAAGTTATGTCATTGGAAAGCAAGGGGACTATCTGTATTGGGTAAAATATGTTATGACACGTGACCGTCCAATAAAGGGACGCGTGGAACCCAAGACAGGGGGATGATTGAAGACTGAAGACAATTATTTCGTTTGTCACCGGGAAGAATAATGCTCATAAAGATGAGATAATGCTCTTCTCCCAGTAGTATTTAATAGAGAATATTCATAGCATTAAGAGCAGTTACTTGTTACAAGGAATTTGGCATTTATGTTCACTGTTATATCTTCATCAATGCCCCTCATAATTGACAGTAAAGAAGGGCACGATCCTAGGACCTTCTTCATAGCTATAAATAGTGAGCTCAGTTGTCATTGTAAAGGGCACAGATTTTCTAGCAAACTTACAATATATTTTATACAAAGCTCAAACCATTCTTATCGTCTTATTTCTTGATTTTTTTGTTGTTGTGCCGGAAACCTTGTTCCCGAAATTGTTGCTTTTATTGTTTCGTTTATATCTTAAGGCTAAGTATTGCGTAATTCTTCAATTATTTATTTATTTCAGGATCAAATTAATTCACTTATCTAGAAATTACGTATAAATTCAATTATACCGTTTTACGGGTAAATACGTTTATTATTGATCAGCTTAATTACTCTTTTGTTTACCAACTTTATCGAGCTTCCTAGCTAGGGTATAAATTGGTAGATGAATGTCGCATCATCAAAGCAAAAACCTTCTAAGCTAAGCGGGAGTGGATAAATAGATTAGATGATCATCAGATATTCACATGCTTCTTCCAAGATTCAAGAGCAAGAAATCCACATGATCATTATCCTTTCGTTGATCTTAAAAAGATTCCAATACATGTACCAGTACCAGTAAAGACGGATTCATAACTTTAAATTAGCAAGTTAATATTGTATAGGGTAAAATCGGTTCATATTAAATACTCGAATAATAGAGCGATACGTGGAATCGGAGACGGACGAAAGACGAAGCAAGTGAGAATCAAGACCGAGAACAACAACTTCGGTTGACACCGGGCAAACCCCGAAGGGAACATTGCTACCGAGGACAAACGAATATTTGTCACCCGAAAGACATTCAATGAAGAATATTCCTCAGTATTAAATGCATAATCCGTTATAGAAAATTTTGGCATTCATAGCTTGCCGTTATATATTCATCAATGGCTTCCATAATTGTCATTTAAGAAGTGCTTAATCCTAGGACCTTGTTCTCTAGGTTTAGCTATAAATAGTGACTTCAACGGCCATTGTAAGACACGATTTTTCTAACAAACTTATGCTACACATTATTCTAAGTTCAATAATACTTTATTTTTTGTCTATCAATATTCTTATTGTTGTCTTCGAAAGCCTTGCTCCCCGAACCAAGTTGTTTGTTGTCTTATCTCTATTTCAATGCTAAGTCTTGTATTTTATTTAATTTATTTATCATTTTGGGATCAAATCGATTCGCTTGTCTATAATCCCAACATAACTTGTTTCAAACCAATGACCCCTTAAAATTAAAGTATTTTTAAATATAAAAAAATTGTCATTCTTATTAAACTGGCTAAAAAGGAAAAATGTGTTTGCATAAAATTTAAAAGGAAGTAGTAAATATGTCTCTATTGGGTTTGTAAAAACACACGCCCCTCCGTCATTGCGAACGGAAAAATAGTGGTTTAGTGATTGGAATTGATCCCTAAATCCGACACAATAGATGGTGTTTGAGAAAGATAAGAAACCCCATATTCATAACTAAGATAAAGCCAAAGCTAGCTAAAGCTTGGTTGCTACCATAATAAACCAAGTCAAGTTTCACCATATCAGCAAAAAAGCCATTCTATGAAATTTCCCAATCATATTCCCTAATTTAACAAATTTTATCTCATTATTTATTTTTAGGTCCAAATTTTATCTCATGGTTATTGCTTGAATATGTAGGATACTCAAACCATTAGAGATGATGGCAAACTTGATAATTGTCAGTAATAGAGAGGTTCATTTCAAAGGGCTACCTTTATAAATAAAGTCACAGGAGGTACTCTCCAAAGTCTTAAGCTAACTACTCCTTAGTCTTCACTGCAGCTTTATAAGTAACTAATTTAATTAAAAGTCCTCACTGCTGTCTTTCTCCCTATAGCTACACAATTTATCAACTTTAATTCATTTCTGCACCAGAAAGCAAAAGCAACAAGAACAAGAGAAACAGACAGAAAGAAGGAAAGAAACGTAATAGCATGAATCTTCAGGTGGATGATCAAATGATACTCATTTCTCAGTACTATCCTGGTATCTACACTCAAGAGTTACCAGAACAAGGTTAGTACAATGACTTTGCTTTTATAGTATACACTATGAGTGTAAAAGAAGTCTTTTACTGTATCGATCATATTATAGTCGTATAGTTATATTTCTTTCAAGTCACTATAGTCCCATTTATTATGAGAATTAAGTTACTTATAAGTATTTATATGATTTGATAGTGTAAATTTGTTTTTGTGAATTACGTCCAATGCTTTAATTTGGTGTGTTAATTTAGGGGAGGCGAAACAAAGGAGGAGACGAAAGAAGAACAAAGGAGAAGCAAGTGAGGTTATGAGGAAAAGAAAGCTTAGTGAAGAACAAGTGAATCTGCTTGAACAGAGCTTTGGGAAAGAGCACAAACTGGAGTCCGAGAGGAAAGACAAGCTTGCCTCTGAGCTGGGGCTTGATCCTAGGCAAGTTGCTGTCTGGTTTCAGAACAGAAGGGCTAGATGGAAGAACAAGAAGTTGGAGGAGGAATACTCTAAGTTGAAGTCTGAGCATGACACTAACATTGTTCATAATTGCCGTCTTGAAAATGAGGTCCGATCCCATCCCCCTCTTTTAGTGTAATTTCTTTTTATCAAACTAACTACTTCAAAAATAAATCATATAGTAGGTTAAATATAAAACCTCCTTCTTTCGCAACAAGTCCCACAGCTCCCACTTTGGGAAAAATGAAGATCATCTTTGTGAATGAAATTTTTATGCATAATAGGTCATATTTATGAACAGTGTTCTTTATCTTGGTTTTGCGGTTTCAAATTAAATATAGTTTTAAGATATGCAGAATAATTACAGATGGGTCCTTTCCTCCTCCTCCTTTATTTGTGTGGTCCTGAATATTTTCCAATGATTTCATATTACATGGCATTTTACTGAATACAAAGTTTAATATGCTATTAGAGTTTGATTCATATATTATATTAGTGACCGTGGAAGAAAAATATTCAAGTAATTGATAAAAGTTAGTTTGATAATAAAAAATCAAAAAGAAGTTTAAAAGTTGAATATCTTAATATTTATTAGAAATCTTAACAGTTGTTAAAATTGTTAGAAATGAAATGATGTCGAATAAAGGAATTCATGAAAATGCAAGAATCAATATGCACATGAGAAACCCGACATATGTGTCCAAAAAAAGATAGTAGTAGTAGTAGTAACAAAATAAAAAAAGAGACATGCCATGTATTGACAAGCATGGACTATAAGCTCAAAAAAGGCCAATTAGGTGTGTTGCATGTGGATAGAAAAAATTGAAGATTGAGAAATCAGTTAAGAGGTGTAACCTATAAACCAGTGAAATATCGACAAAGAAGAAAGAAACTTGGAGACTGCCACCTCCAAAGGCAGCAAAAAGATATTAAATCCTCCAATTAATACTCCTCCGTACACCATTGTTTAAGGTGGCTAAGTACAGGCCCTCACATGCCAATATGCCTTTTCTTCACACTTGCACGTGCCAGATTATTTTGTAACTAATCCAAAAGTTAAAAGGAAATATAAAGTGAGTTAATTTCAATATAATATACCATTAGAACCTAAACTATAATTACAAGTAACTGTATCTAATAAATTGAAATAGTAACTTCACAAATAAAGCAGACAATATGCTACAACATGTAAAATTACATTAATCTTGTTAAAATCTTTACGGTACCAGTATATATAAATAAGTTGATATAGTATTTTGAGTTTCATATTAGTGCAAATCATAGCTTTTAGCTTAACTTCTATATTATGACAGTATAAACTTCGTCATAATCAACTGAAATTTAACTAAGGAAAAATGTATAAAAAGGGGGCAGCTAGCTGAGTCATACAGAATTTTTGGTGCAGGTTTTGAAGCTGAAGGAACAGTTGTCTGAAGCAGAGAAAGAGATACAAAGGTTGCTGATGGAGAGATGTGATGGGGTTAATTCGAGCAATAGCCCAACTACTTCATCACTCTCAATGGAAGCAGCCAATATGGAACCTCCTTTTCTTGGGGAATTTGGAATGGAAGGATTTGACAATACATTTTATGTGCCAGAAAACACTTACTCTCAGGGATTGGAATGGGTTAATTTATACATGCCATATGATGTGTGATTATTTTTCAACTGTAGAATTAAGCCCCAAAATTCTGTATATTATGTGTAGATATGACCTAACTAATGTGTGTACATCAATCTTTACTTTTCTCCTTGCTTTACTAGTGCACTAGTGTTACTTAGTATTTAACTACCTAGCTAGCTAGCAAGTAGCAAGATGGAATATATATAAGACTTTGGTTTTTGACTAAGTGTTTGCCTATGTTGCTTATCTTTTTCGTTTATATACTAGTTAATGATCTCCTTAATCATATGCCATATTTGCGCAAAAGTTGAAGTTCAAAATAAGTTCTTTAAAATAATGAGAGTGATGGGTGCTTCTGTTGCTTGTTAGTACGTAATTATCTTCTACCGTAGCAGAAAGCTTGAGAATTGACAGGAAAAAGGCACGATAGCAAACCAAAAAGGCGTCTTGCTTTTCTTCGGATCGACACTATTATAATTGAGTTTAACTTTTAAATGCTAATTGAGTACGTATATATACTGCACTATTAAGTCACTTAATTTTTACATTCCTATATATTATTTCAATCTTTATTACTTTTCATACTCAAGTTTTAATATAATTACATATTATATACCCAATTACCAATTATATATATTTTTAGGCATTTAATAATAATAATTAGTGTTCTAAAATCACTCTAACGTATCTTCCACTCCCCCCCTCACGTTTCTCTCTCCACACCCCCCTATCTTGCACTCACCCACGTTTCTCTCTCCACAAACTTCAGTATCCCTCCATTTACGCCTATTTTCACTCTTCTTCAAAAATCAGTCTACATTTTTTCACTCTTCTGCAAAAATCCCTCTCCATTTTTATAGATTCAAGCTCTAAATATTCTACCACACACCTCCATCAACGCCTGTTACTTGTTTAATTTTCAATGAAGAAGAAAACAGTTTCGAAGATCAGCCCTAAAAAAGCTAAAGTAGGTAATATTCCTACATTTGATTTGGGTGTTTTCTCAGAGAATTCACCAAAAAAAGTTTTAAAATCAGCACATGCAAAATAAGAGACCAAGCTCAGGCTTTCCCCTCGTGAAGTTAGGGCAGAAGCTCGTACAAAACAAAAGCATGATATGGATGCTGGTGAATCCTCGATACCTGTTAAATCTGCAAAACGGAAAGGCAAATAAATTGCTTCCGATGATGATTTCGTCAAAGAAGAAGCTATCATGAAAGTTGCAAAAAAAAATTAGAGTGTCTCCTACTGTTAAACCTTCAAAAAAAAAAAGAAGGTTCAAAAATCTTCTAAAACTATTCCCCAACAGTCTTTGGAGAAGGTAAAAATTTAGTAGTTTCAATTTTTTTTTTTAAAGCAAAAAAACTTGTTCTCATTCGTATGAATATGCATAATTTTTGTTTTTGTCGTTATAGAAATTATGTCTACATTGTGTAGATTTATTATAGATTTATATTTTTCTGATTGTAGATAAATTGTAGTATAAACGTAATTATTTTATTTTCTAGTTTTGACTCTGTTTTTTGATTGTAGATAACTTGTAATATAACTGGAGTTATTTTATTTTCTGGTTTTGACTCTGTTTTTCTGATTGTAGATAAATTGTAATATAAATATAGTTATTTTATTTTCTGGCTTGGAAACAAGTTTTAATAACTTTCTTTTTCTTTTGCTGCAGAATGGACCATTTTTTGCACCTCCTGATATTGATTATGGGATCATTAGGTTCCAGACATTACCCGACCCCACTATTCCTGGTCAAATCTAGGATTTATTGTCTGAAAATGGTTTAAAGATGTTTAAGAAAACATATTTTGGGTATTTTCTTTCCTTGCCCAAAATATGTATGCAAAATCAAACAATTCATCTTCTCATGAAGTATGAATTGAACGCATCTGGTTCCAACTTTTTTTTCAGCAGAGATAAAGGGTGAGAGGCTGAATTTTGGTTTGAGAGAGTTTGCCCTAATTAGTGGCCTTAGATGTTTTACGGAAGTAACAGACTTTGGTTACACACCAAAGTATGACAGTAAAATAATGAGAAGCTATTTTCCAAACAAGGAAAAAGTTGAGAAGTCATATTTAAAACAAATCGTAACCAGCCGTAGTTAGGTAAACGATGAGGATGAAGTCAAGCTGTGTATTCTCTATCTCATAGAATTCTTCCTCTGTCCTTCAAACAAAGATAATGTAGGTTTGATAGACCATTTTAGGTTCTATTTGGTGGACTCAGGGCAGTATGCGAACTACACATGGGGTAGTGAATCTTATACACAATTGCTTCAGTCCGTTAGGCACAAGCTCAACCCTTCTGTTCATTTTTATGTCATTCGAGGCATTGCACTAGCTATGCAAATATGGTTGTATGAGTGTTGCTCTACCGTCAACACTGATATAGCTACAAGGATTTCTAATTCAATCTCTCGCATACTTAGCTGGTCAGCTAGTAAGGACAAGATATGGTTATCTGCAATTGAAGATAGAATGATCAAACCATCATGGATCAAGGTAAATGGTTTTCACTTCTGCGCAGACAATCTAATACAAATTATCTACACATTTTATACATATTATGTCTAAGTCACTCACATTTTTTTTTTACTCAGTTCACCAACATAATTGAAGCACCAGAGGAGCTTTCAAGAATGAATTTGCCAAATAAAGTTGAATACATTCTTGAAGAAGTTGAAACAAAGTCCGAGCATCCGATAGATGCTCCATCTCCATCCGTACATAAGCATGCAATTGGAATAAATGACAAGAAAGATATTGTGAAATAAATAAAAAAACTAAGATAAGATGTTGACAAGGTAACATATATACATAATCCTAGATGATTTTTTTAATTTATGTTATGCAAATTATTTCGTTAACTCTTTTTATTTTAATATGTAGGTTGGTTCAGATCTTGGAACTTTCAAGAAAGAGGTTTTTGAAGAACTAGGTAGTATTCGACTGCTATTCAATGATTCAATCAAGGTTGTTTTACAGGCGATAAACAGTCAAAAAAATAACATTGATGATAAGGCTTCATTTGAAATATATTCTTTTTAGACAACATTTTTTACCGTGTCTAAGTTTATATTATCATTCATAAAGTATATAGCCTAACAAATTAAATGCCTGTAGTTTACTGGCAGTTCTACAAAACATGATGAGCACTCCAAAGAAAAGAACAATCAACACTTTCCGGACAGTAGTGCTAAATCAGTGCATGCCAGCAACAGTAAAATAGGCATCTACATTATATCTACATATATCTATATATCTACATTATGTCTACAATATATCTACATATATTTACATTATGTCTACAATATATCTACATATTGCCTAAATTACCATCAACTAATCTGCATTATATTTCCAATGGTTTTCTTAGATACAGGGCAGGTGAATGATATAAAAATTATGGAGAATGTTCCTGTAGGTGTTGATTTATCTTCCCAATTTGAAGGGGCATTTGATGAAGAGAATGCAGGTAAGATTTAGTACATGTTATCATCACATTTCACAATATATTTTGCATATCAGCTGCAGGACAACATTTCAATAAGTTTATTATAATTAAACTATAATTTATATGCAATGATGTTAATGTTTACTACAAATTATCTATAATTTTATTAAGTTATACATATTTATTGTAATAGAGAAGGAAACTATGCATGTAGAATCTCCAAAACAGAAAGCTACAATAAGCATTCCAGGAAAACAAAAAAATGAGGAGAAGGAGACAAAAATACAATCTCACATTCAAGAAGAGAACGTTATACAACAAGGAGATGATTGTTGTGAAGATTTCAGTGGTATTATACATTACATTATAATTGTAGGAAAAAAAATAGGTTTAATATAAGTTTCAATTTTCAATAAAGAGCTGATGCAACATGTCTTCTTATTCTTTTATTTTAAATTTTGAAGGTGAATCAGCCGACTACATTAATATAGGTGATTCAGACAATGACTCTAGATCTGAAAAAAGAGAAGTAACACTTGATGATTTTGAGCTGCCAGAGAACTTCTCCCAGATTATTAAGTTCGGCGAGCTTAATGAAGATGAAAAAATCCCATGTGCATCAAGGAAGAACAAGGCAGCCTGGAAAGCATGTCAGATCCCCATTTCTCCCTTTTTACAGTTCTGGGGGGAGAACTTCTGTTGGACCTCCAATTTTCCTCATCAAGCATCCATTTACTGGGGTTATTGGCGAAGATGTTGATCCTGACTTATTGGAAGAATTCAATAAGTGGTTATACTTTGGTATCGATACAGTTTCAAAGAGGTTAGTTTATAAAATTTGTTCATATTTTTGAGTGCATTCATCTTTTGGATTTCCACTTGAATCTACATATTTATTGTAATTTCTAAGTGTTTAAATAGGAGGAAGGCGCCTTATTCTGTAAAAGATAACCAGCTTAAGCCGTGGTATGATTTTGGAGTGGAGAAAGTTGATAAAAATGAGAGGTTTTATACTTTGGTACACCCCGGGCAAGTCCTCAACGATACGGTAAACACATACCCTGGCAGAATTTAATGACTAGCTGTAGTATTCTGTCATCTAAAGATTTTGTAGTTTTTTTATTTAAAAATTATAGTTAAATTGTATGAAGCATTGAAAAATAATGAAATCTTTTTTATGCAGCACATTGATGTTATTTTATACTATTTGAGAAAGAGAGGAAAGTATGGTCGTCAAAACAAAATATGGTTTACAATCATTGATTGTATGTTCAACACTAGAATTGAACAAATTTATCAGAGGTACATCAATACTCCTGCCGATAAGAAGCTTGTTGTTGTCAAATCCCAAGACGTCGTATCAGAATACATATTGGGGTACAGATTACTCGCAAATATTGCATTGGATCAAGTTGATTTTGTGATTATGCCCATAAACATTGTGAAAAAATTTTATTGGTTGTTGGTTGTGTTTGACATTACCGATAGGGTTCTATATGTTTATGATTCTATGTTCTCTTCACGAAATCACAACCTTGTTGAATTTGTTGTCAACAAGTTTGCTGTTATGATCCCCCTCTACTTGTCATGCACCGACTTCTATGGCAAGCGTCCAGACATCAACTACAAGAACACAAAAGCATACATTGAAAAATGTGTTACTGACCCTCTTGACATTCAGTGGTTGGTCGGTGAGATACTCCATCAAAATGAGGGATCACTGTATGAAAAAGCTATTTTTCCTTCTATCTATTTAACAGATTTTAT